TTCCTCCCTCTTTCCCCATATGTATTTAAACGTATGAAATGGGAGTGAAAAGGTTATGGGAGGGAGAGAAGGGAGAGGAGTAGGAGTAGGAGAGGGGGGTGGGTGAGGATATGGTTGGAGAGGAGGGGGGGGGAGGAAAGGGGATGGGAGAGAGGGAAGATTGGGGGGGGAGAGGAAAGGAGAAAGAATGAGAGGGAGGAGAGGTGAAAGAGAAGGGGAGGAGAGGGAAAAGACTGAAAGGAAGGGGAAAGAGAGGGGGGAGAGGAGAGAAAAGGGGGAGGAGGGAAAAGGGGGAGGAGAGGGGGAGAGGATGGGGGAGGAGAGGAGGAGAAGAGGGGAGGAGAGGAGAGGGGGAGGAGAGGGAGTGGGGGAGTGGAGAGGGCTGTCTCACGCTCCTTTACCTGTCTCGGTCTGTTTCTTCCGGCGGGAGCGTGTCAGGTGCCGCTGATCACCTCTGCACATTTACATGTACGCACACACACGCACACGGTGAGATGAGAATACGCTCGGACACGCGTGCACACAAATGCAGTCGCAAGCATGGACGCAAATAAGCACATGTCACGCAGACACACACGCACACAGCCAGATATATACACAGAGAGAGCTATCCACACACACCTACTCCAACCCCCCTTACACCACACTCGCATTGGCATCTACACGCAACGCACACTCATTCACTCACTCACACCATCACTCACTCTCCCTCACTCACACTCACGTCACTCACTCATCACATCACTCATTATCTCACTCGCGCCTCATCACACCATCCACTCACTCACTAACCCATCCATTCACCACCCACACTCACATAAACTCACTCACTCACTTCAACTCACACCTCACTCACTCTCACCTCACATCACTTCAAATCACTAACCATCCATTTCACCACTCACTCGCTCACTCACCCATCCCCCCCGCCCCACCACCACCCCCAAAAAACACACACAACACAAATACACATATGTACACAGAACGCGCGAGATAACACCTGGCCAGCTTAGGGTACAGGTCCAAGCCAACTTCGAACAGGTATAATTAAGAAAATTCGTCCAGGAAGTTAATTAAGGAAGAAAATAAGCCAAGCAACATACGATGGGCGGTTGATAATGAAGTTTTTACTCGGTCGAAGTTTATCAGGTCGTGAAATAGCTTTTAGGTCGCTTGCCTCGGCGGTGCCACGTGCCGCTCGTGAATGCTTCGTGCCTTCTGGAATGTCCAAGATTGTTCCAGGTTGTTCATGACTATGATGGGCTATCCAAGATTGTTCCAGATTGTTCATGAGTGTTCTGGGCTATCCAAGATTGTTTCAGGTAGTTCATGACTATGACGGGCTATCCAAGATTGTTCCAGGTTGTTCATGACTATGATGGACTATCCAAGATTGTTCCAGATTGTTCATGAGTGTTCTGGGCTATCCAAGATTGTTTCAGGTAGTTCATGACTATGACGGGCTATCCAAGATTGTTCCAGGTTGTTCATGACTATACTGGACTATCCAAGATTGTTCCAGGTTGTTCATGACTATTCTAGGCTATCTAAGATTGTTCCAGGTTCATGGCTATTCTGAGCTATCCAAGATTGTCCCAGGTTGTCCATGACTGCTCTGGGCTATCCAAGATTGTTCCAGATCGTTCATGAATGTTCTGGGCTATCCAAGATTGTTCCATGTTCATGACCATTATAGGCTATCCAAGATTGTTCCAGATCGTTCATGAATACTCTAGGCTATCCAAGATTGTTCCAGGTTGTTCATGACTGTTCTGGGCTATCCAAGATTGTTCCAGATCATTCATGAATGTTCTAGGCTATCCAAGATTGTTCCAGATCATTCATGAATGTTCTAGGCTATCCAAGATTGTTCCAGGTTGTTCATGACTGTTCCGGGCTATCCAAGATTGTTCCAGGTTGTTCATGACTGTTCTGGGCTATTCGAGATTGTTCCAGGTTCATGACTGTTCTAGGCTATCCAAGATTGTTCCAGGTTGTTCATGACTGTTCTGGGCTATCCAAGATTGTTCCAGGTTGTTCATGACTGTTTTGGGCTATTCGAGATTGTTCCAGGTTCATGACTGTCCTGGGCTTTCCAGGATTGTTCCAGATTGTTCATGAATCTCTAGGCTATCCAACATTGCTCCAGATCGTCCATGACTGGTCTTGGACGTCAGCGACTGTCACCGTCAGCGTCCGTATTTGTTCCTGACTATCTATAACTGTTCAGAGCTCTGAGTGACTGTCCCTAGCTGTCCATGACTGTTCTTGACTGTCTATATTTATTTCTGGCTATCCATGACTTACCGACTGTTCACGACTGTCAGTTGGTCCATACCTGCACTGGCTTGTGTATGACACTTCCTTGCTCTCCATGACTGATGCGTCGGTGACAGGCGCCGCGAGTGCCAGGTGACAGACTGACCTCGTTTATGACAGATTTCGATCATGTCAGGTGACAAGCGAGTCCTAGCGATGCCAAGTAATTTTTCGTTATGGC